CTCTTGGGAGTGCTGCAGACAGAGACGTGGAACCCCTGCACCGTACAGGCTTCTGGTGCCAGGTCCCAGCACCAAGAAAAATGAAAATGAAAGGAAACTATCGCAGCTGCAGGCAGCTTGCAGGAAACACCAGAGCCCTCCCACGCAGGGCACTCATAGATGCAGCCTCCAGGAAATCCAGGCACAATTGACATGCATGAGCTTACACCTCTGGAAAGCCCCAACATATCTGTCGGGTCACAGTGGGACTGAGCTGAGCTGGAATGAGGAAGGAAACCAGAATTTATTGAGATTGAATTTATTAAGTGCAGCAGGTTTCCAGGGGCAAAACAGAAGCAAATTCCTTCTAGCAGAGAGGGTGACTCACAGTGTCCTGGATTCCCCCACCCCACGCAGGTACAGGAGATGCTGGCTCAGGAGCCAGTTGCCCACGAGCACTGGTGACACAGCAGGGGCTTCCTGCAGCCGGGCTCTTGCTGGCCAGTAAGGCCCTCAAGCCTCCCAGGTCCCTGGTCCTAGCAGCAGAGTCTGCAGCGGTGAGGCATTACCCATGCTAGAGGAAGATTGACTTAAGGCACACATACACAAGCCCATAGAACTGGGTGGGATGCACTCGAGGATGCTGAGGCTGCTGGCTGGTGCCATGTCAAGGCTCATCTCTGATCTCTTTGGAAGGTTGCAGCAATTGGGAGGTTCCTGATGAGTGGGAGAAGGCAAACATCACACACAACTTTGAGCAGGGCGAGAAAGAGGGCTTGGTGAACTACAGCCTGCCCAATGTCACCTCTGTCCCTGGAAAGGTGATGGAGCAAATCCTCCTGGCAATCACTGCCGAGCACCTGAAGGACGAGAAGGGAACAGCCAGCAGGGATTTACAAAGGGCACATCGTACCTGACCAACCTGAGTGCCTTATGAGGTGAGATGACTGGCCTTGTGGATGAGGGGAGAACCTTCACTTCAGCAAAGCTTTCAGCATGGTCTCCCATGGCCTCTGTGTAGCCAAACTGGGTAGATACAGGCTGGGTAAGGGCGTGACCGTCCAGAATGTGCTCTGGGTCCAATTGCTTTCTGTGGATGCAGGGAGGCTGCCAAGGGACCCTTGCAGACCAGCAGGCACCTTTCCAGAGGGCTCCGCAGGCTGCAGCGGGCACACAGCACAAGGATCTTGGTTCAGGTGTGCCCACAGGTCACATTTAATTCAAGCATTTGCAAACCCAGAGGGTGGGAGGAAGGAATAGATGCCCAGAGAGACTGGCAGCATGCTACTTGCGCTTGTCTCAAGGTTATCGGAGTCTGTTTCGGTGGTACCTTAGAAACCCCAGCAAACCCGCTTTACAGGGCATCTGACCTGTGTTCCTAGCCTGGGGAGGGCTTGTGGATATAGCCAACGTGTTGTTTGCTTCTTCAACACAAAGGTTGGCTAAAACATCAAGTGAATCACTTCCTCCTCCTGCGCTGGGTTGTTGCTGGTGGCTGGGCTTCACTCACCAGCTCCGGCTGGCTCTTGCGGTGCGGCGGAGGAGGCTGCCTGGCTCCCCAGCCCTCCTCTCGTGGGTCCCTGAGCAGCTGGGTGGCTCTCCTGCCCATGGAGCCTGGCCTCTTGTTTTCAGTTCTACCGTCAGCACGCTAACACCCATGGTGTTTCAGTCTCTCACTTCTGCTCTGAGCCAGCCTTTGCCCCACAGCCCCAGACCCGCCTTGTACGTAGCTGTTGCCACGGTGCTAAATGCAATAAAAAAGCAGCATGGAAGAGCCATTTTGTCTGCAGAGCCTGCAGAAGCAGACGACACGGCTGGAGGGAGGTAAAGATCAGAGCAAAGAGGAACTGCATCTGCAGCTTGCAGGCCAGGGACAAAACGAGAGCTCCCATGCTCTCAACCATGTCGCATCACTTCCACACCACTTTGCTCTTGAACAATCCTCTCAGCCACCCCCCAGCCTTTCCAGGCTCCCTGCCATGCTGCGGATGGGACTCTGCTTGTGGTGCGCAGCGCGGAGCAGAGCTGTGGTGCCCGGTCCAAGAGCCAAGCCTAAACCCCAGGAATGAGATTTGAATGTCTCCAGCCGAGGCTGGACATCTGTGACATCTGAGCTTGCCTTGGAATGGAGAGCCCAGTGGTGCCCAGCGCCTCTGCATAGCCAACAAGAAGCAGGAGCACCAAAGCTGCCGTTTTGTCCTCCCTGGCCTTTCGTCTAGCTGACAATTTGCATTTCCAGATTGTGCCTTGCTTGAAGTTTCCTTTTTCCCTGCTTGCTGTTATTCCCCCAAGGGGAGGGAACAAGAAGTCATGCATGACGCCGAAATATTTTAGATGCATAAAAAAACCCGGCAAGTGACCTCCCCAGACCAGTGCCATGGCACTTCCAAGCAGGCTAGTGCTGACACGTCTGTTTGAGATTTAGTTGGGCAAAAAAATGAATGCTTTGTAAAGCAATCTATAAAATGCACCTACACTGCAGATCCCACTGAGATTAGTACTTTCTCACCCTAGAGGTTTTTAAACCACTAGTGTGACAGGCATTGTAAACCCCTCATGCACCATGTGCCACGGCCTTTTACTAACCACAGAGCAGCTGGTGCTTACTCATGAAAACCACCATGCGTGGCACAGATGGACGCATGGGGCACCCTCACCTTCCCCGTGTCTTGGGCCACGTGCCGTCTTGGGCAGTGTCTTACCAATGCATCTGTGGGATGCTCCTGATGCAGACAAATCATGGCAAAACATGGTCACCTGCCAGATAACTGACTAGTTATCACTAACCTCCCACCCCAGCCTGGGCTTCCTGGTTTCCACACTGCTGCTGTGCTGCTGTGCTGCTGTGAGTGGAGATGGGGCAGCGCCAGGTCAGCTGAGCGTTGCCTGGGTGCCTGTTCGATGCCGCCTGCTCTGCCTCACCTTTCTGGGCACCCGAAGGACGCTACGACATCCCTCTGAGCAGCTGCTCTATTTGTATACACCTCGGCAGAGATTTAGGAGCTTGTGGTCCAAACTGACTGTCCAAACCACCCATGGTTTAATCAGTGTCCAAACACAGCAAGAACTAAGCTGTCTGCTGAGCCGGCAAAGGTGCTTGCAAAGTCAGGGAATCATAGAATCACATGAATCATAGAATACCAGGTTGGAAGGGACCTCAAGGATCACCTAGTACAACCCTTCTTGGCAAAAGCATGGTCTAGACAAGATGGCCCAGCACCCTGTCCAGCCGAATCTTAAAAGTGTCCAATGAAGAATCCACTACTTCTCTGGGGAGATTACTCCAATGGCTGATTGTTCTCATTGTGAAAAATTTTCCTCTTGAGTCCAGTCAGAATCTCCCCAGGAGTAACTTGTACGCATTACCCCTTGTCTTTTCCATGTGACTCCTTGTAAAAAGGGAGTCTCCATCTGCTTTGTAGCCGCCCTTTAAATACTGGAACATGGTTATAAGGTCTTCCCCTAAGCCTTCTTTTCTCAAGGCTGAACAAACCCAGTTCTCAGCCTTTCCTCATGTGGCAGGCTTCCCAGTCCTTTGGTCACCTTTGTGGCCCTTCTCTGTACCCTCTCCAGCCTGTCCACATCTTTTTTGTATTGCAGGGACTAACAATTATTCCAGGTGTGGCCTGACAAGCGGCATAATGACTTCTTTATCTCTGCTGGTGATGCCCTTGTTGATGCAACCCTGTATCCTGTTGGCTTTCTTTGCCACAGCAGCACACTGTTCACTCATATTGAGCTTGCTGTCCCCCAGGACCCCCAGGTCCCTCTCCACAGAGCTGCTCCCCAGCTGGGTAGATCCCAGCCTGTGCTGCACTCCTGGATTATGTTTTCCCAGGTGCAAGACCTTACATTTGCCTTTGTTGAACTTCAGAAGGTTCTTGTTAGCCCACTCTTCCAGCCTATCCAGGCCTTCCTGCGGGGTGGCTCTCCCTTCCGAAGTGTCCACATCCCCACTCAGTTTGGTATCATCAGCAAACTTCATCAGGGTACACTTGATCCCATCATCCAGATCACTTATGAGGATATTAAACCACATTGG